TCATTCGACGAAGACCTTCGTCCGGCAGTAGATAGACAATGGCTGTTTATGACGATGATGAGCTTGAAAAGCGAATACACCAATGTGTGTTGAGAGGAAGGTTCCACTGTCAAGGCACGTGTGTCCCAGAGTAACCTGCTTCACAGCACAAGGGACATTTCCCCGAAACGTCGCCTACAGTATACAGTTTTACTTTCTTGGCTTGACGAATGAGTTGTTTTAATTATACTTTGTACATCACTGCAAACAGAGCGGTGTCACCGTATAAGTTATTGTTGTGCGGTATAATAGTTGGCATGCCAAGGGGGTGTGGGGTGGAGGGGGGGGGAGCACCGTCCAAAATCTCAACAGGTTGCGAAGTGTTGTTTATATAACAGCGGATTACAATTGCTCAACAAATGAACTTGTAATGTTTGACTGGAATTGTCAGATTGCTGTCATGAAGGACCGACGAAGTGTACAGCCTTGGCCGATTGTCGATGTGGTTTAATCATTTCAAGAACCTTGGGTTTCAGTACTCCTTTCAATGGCACTTGTTGGCAAAAAAAAACATTGCATAATTCTGCTTATACCCCGAAATTAGAACCTCGGTCGCGATGAAACATTGGCACCTGCCGCAACTGGCACGCACGGTTAGTTTTTTGCTGTATTTTTTTGTGTAAAGCAGAGTTTGCCATGCGTGTTTTCATTTCAATTTCGCTTTGAACCAGCTGGCCGTGTGGCCCAGGAATTAGGGCATTGCCAATAGCCGTCTGTCCACTGGCACACCGAAGCTGAGGCCAGCGCCAGACCCCCACGGTGCGGGTGGTTTTTCCACTGGCTATTTGCCATGGCGAGCCAGAACCGAACTGGGATACGCTGGCCTTACAAGACATCTGAAGCAGGCTCGGGGCCAAACAAGGCCAGAGGCGAGGATAATGATAATTAAATGAAACAAAAGTATTTTACCAGGTAAGGCCCACTGAGCTACACAGCTCTTTTCAGAAACGACCTGGCCACAAATGATAGCTCAGCGAAGTGGCTTATCACGCGCAAATGTATAGCGGTCAAATACCCTAAACGCGTGATGTTGATTATAAATGTGGAGGGAAAAACCGGAACACCCGAAGAAAAATCCACGTGACCACGGGGAGAGAGACACGCAAACTCCAAATATACATGCGTCATGGTTGGGCTCGAACCCACGCCCACCTGCATTCCAGGTGAAGGAGATAACATCTCAACACTGTGGTGCCCCTGCAAGTACATTGTGTGTGCGGTGAGCCAGCACGCCGCTCGGGCACGGTGTCTCACCGCGTCATTGACATGCGTCTCTATACTGGCAGTCCCCAGATTACGAAAGGATTAAGTTCCCGAGAACGATCCGTAACCCGGATTTTCCGTATGTCGGAAACTGAACAATATTCCCCAAAAATCAACGATAAAATCCCATAGCCGAAAGTAGTTGTGCCTCATAATTGGACCTCCTTTGCCAGTACCAAAATATAATAATAGGGTTTTTCCCCTTTTTTTCTGGCAACAAAACTGAAACCTTTTTTGCAAGGATTCATGTCTGCATTAACCACAATACCTGCAGTCAAAATGCAAACAAAAAACATACTATGATAATATGATGCATTGTCCTTGAAACTGATTGGTCCACACCAAGGGACGGCTTTCTTTTGAGCCTCGACCCAATTGGTGCTCGACCAGATGACGCCAATCAGTTTCAAGGACAATGCATCATATATTATCACAGTATGTTTTTTGTTTGCATTTTGACTGCAGGTATTGTGGTTAATGCAGACATGAATCCTCGCAAAAAGGTTTCAGTTTTGTTGCCAGAAAAAAAAGGGGAACAACCCTATTATAATAGTTGTGCCTCCTCTAGCCAATTTCTAATTTGTTTTCTCTAAGTAACGTATCGCACTATCGTCCGTGTTCTATCGCTACCTGTTTCGTATTGCTGTACATACGCTCTGCACTTCCTATAAATCTTTCATTTAAACGAATATCTACCCTAACACTACCCACAATTAAACTAACGGAACATATACTGTATCCAGTTGTTTATGAATACCACGAAACATTTTTATACGAATTGTTTATAGAAAGCAGTCACTTCCGAATGTTTGTTTACCGTGCATTAGAGGCCAGGCCTAGGCTTCTCTGATCGCTGTTGGCTGAGACCATGAGCAATTGAAGGGTAATTGTGTTAAATAAAGTACGTACGGTAAATAACTCGTGAAATAAACTTAAAATGAAGAAAACAAGCAAGACACACGGGGAACAGATAGTTCTAAGCATAGGAAACAAACAATTACGTAACGCAACAAAACATTCCACTTACTGAACCTTGATCCAAGCCTGCCTTACGCCTCGCTCCGTGGTATTCATTCACAACCTCACCACGCTGCACTTGCTTGCGCTGACATAACTAACACACACAAAATCCGCATATTGAATTCTATTTTAACACCATTTACAGGGGCATTGCCGTGAGGTCGGATTTCCGCAAGTCGGGTCTTCCACAACATGGGGACTGTCTGCATATGCCTCGCGTGCGACATCAATGGCACGGCTCAGGTTCTGTAGTGGAAAAACAAATCTGGTGTGCCCCGAAGCCGAACCGGGCTGGTTTGTCACGGCACAACGGCGGGCTCGGTTTACGTTGGATAAAGTGGGGGTTCGAATCCCAGGTCTTGGCCACCCGTGATTATAACCGGGTTCTCAAGTGTAGTGACGTGACGTCTCAGCATTGGTCACCGACAACTTCCACAAACGGGATAATAAAGTGGTGTTTTGACTTAAGATCGCTAGATTCTAGCTGCGAGAGCTAAGAACATCGCTTTGATTACCAAGCAATGGGCACTCTATGCAAAGGCATAGAAAATGTGTTCCCAGCCCCCCCCCCCCCCCCCCCAGACGTGATTCAGAAGTAGTTCTGTCATGTCCTCTTCAAGTAGCATCCTCCCGTCACCGAGCAACTCGGCGTTAGCTGTAACGCAACTGAAATGCACAAGAACCAAAAATATTGAAGGAAAAAGTTGAATGTTGTTCCTAGGGGATCGTGGGCCTTGGCCCCACTACAGAAAAAAGCTACATGAAATAAACAACCTAGATAATGCTTCCCCATTTTAAACTGCATATCATACGAAGTTTTGGGACTCGATAAAATCGCACGGACGATTGTAAACGGAAGTGAATAAGCTGGCGTGCCAGCCACTGGTTAACTCGTTCGAGCGGCGATTGCATTAGCTTGCCGTTTGGCCAGTCCTAGCACCTGCCGTTCTGCGGAGCAAGTTGACAATTGCACTTTCCAAGACAAATAGTTCACTACTTTAGCCCACCGGTGTGTTGAAGAGTGGATTCACAACATTTACAACTTACATTTACAATGAGCGTCTTGATGAGAGAGGATTTCTGTGCTGGGTGATGATGCGAATCTGCATTCAGATCGGCACCCGTGTGCGTTCCCTTGCGGTAGACGCTCTGTGTGTTCTTTTGCCATTTTGACCGCGTCCAAGCAAAATATCCAGGAAGGGGAGCGTGTTGTTCACCTCCATTTCCACGGTGAACTGAACGGCTGGGTTTTGCGCATTTAGATGATTTAAAAATTCATCAAGTGTATCTTTACCATGTGGCCAGACAACCAAAGTGTCATCGACATATCTAAACCAAAAATATGGTTTTAATGTACTTGAGGAAAGTGCTCTTGTTTCAAAGATAGACTTAATTCATTTATAAGTCACCTCAATGTGCTAAACAAAGCCATACATCGGGCAAAGGCAGTGACAGATGGTGAAAGTTTAAGGAAATAGATGAAACATGTTAAAGAAGCACCAAGACTGAATGGCTACAATAATGCTCAAATTAACAGAGCATTGAATGCCAAATCAAGATCGAACAACAATACTGCTGAAAGTGATCAAATTATCAAAACAATTAAAATACCATATATATCGGGAGTTACTGACAAATTAGCCCGTGTTTTGTAAAAACAAAACATTAAAGTGAGATTTGGTACGGTACACAAAATTAAAAAGCTAGTGTCTTGTACTAAAGATGAATTACCGAAGTTATCAACAGGTGTATATCGGATCAATTGCTTATGCGGTTAAGTGTTATATTTGACAGACGGGACGTAACATTAGCGTGAGACTAAAAGAACACCAAAGGAACATAAAATTGTCCCAAACTTCAGCTGTCAGCAATGGCAGAGCATGCTTGCCAACAAGGACATTCCATTGATTTTGATAACGTTTAAGTGTTATGCAGGACGAATTATTACTGGCCAATATTAGTTAGAGAATTGAAATTCAGAAGAATTACAAAAATTTCAATCACTGTGATAGCTACAGACTCAGCGCAGCCTGGAGGCGTATTATTAAGTAATACACAACACACATTGCAATTCCTTACAGGTGCGTCACATGATAAGTGGCTGATTACTGATCTAATACATAATTGCATTCACCCTCACCCCCGCCTCTGATCTCGAATCCTGATGGGGTTCAACAATGATGACGTCATCCTGCACTATTTAAGACCGGAAGCACGTGGGTCGCTTCACTATTCTGGCAAATCGCCCGAAGATGCTGGATGTAATTTCAAGCGAAACTTTGTACCCAAATTGTAAATGTTGTGTATCCACACTTCAACACACAGGTGGGCTAAAGTAGTGAACTATTTTGTCTTTTGTCAACGTGACACATTTTTAACTGATTGGCCGTATCGGGTGGTGGAGGCTTGCGACACATTTATAAATAACGTGATCTAATCCAAAAACCATCATTATGAATAATACTGGTCGCGAAAGCCTGCTACGTGTTAAACTGATGGAAGAGTAGGCTAAAATACCCCCTGTAGAGGCTCTCTTAACGCTCCCTCGAGTGGCGTGTGTAAGCAATTGCGGGGCGTGCACCTTTGCCTCTTACACTGCTGACAAACATCAATCTCCAAGGCCTAGCTCATATGTTAGCACTGGTTTCTCTGCGTAAGAAAGGTAAACAAAGTCCTCCTGAAGACAATAACCATACCACTTTAATCACCCGTGGAAAACGAACTACTTCAACACGTCTCGCCCCATCCATGCCGAGCACGGTCATTTGGGATGTCTGCCCATTGGCTCTTGGCCCAACGGTTATGGCACAGAGTTATTCTGATCGGCTACGTCTGAGTGTGGGGTGCCCCAGTTTTGCTCAAATGATTACTTGAATAGAGTGCAGCCCTTGTCACGAGAGAGAGAAATGTAGAATCTTGAAATGTGAATTATTGCTACTGGGTAAAATTCACTGCGCCCCAGCGTGGCACCACGTCTCACCAGCACACAGACACCACGCAAAGTAAGGTGCCCAGGAAAGATCAGTATAAATACGTGTAAAAATTTGGTCATTGTGCACGTCACATTATTTACAGAATTCCTTGCCGCTTTCCCAAGCACCGTCATCCCGCGCACGTCTGCCTGATATCCGCTTCACCGCCGAGCTGCACTTTCTCATCGGCCACCAGCGTCATTTCCAACTGCTCTTTGTCATCGCCGGACACGAGAACCTCGGTGGGCCGCGGCTGCGCCGGGGGGCCGGTGAACTCTTTCAAAAAATCCCAACGCCCGGGCAGCGTCCCGGACACGAACAGGTGCCTCGTCAAGAAGGACGCGGCGATGTTCACCGTCAGCGAGATCAGCATGGCAATGGTCTTCATGGGAAGGGCCTGGTGGACCAGGCCGTCCACCTCGTGGTAGCCGGGGTAGCGGACGAGCGCCGGCAAGCTGAGCAGCGGCTCGCCGCCGGTCAGCCTGAAGAGGAGGCCCGAGAAGAACGCGACGATGAGCCCGTAGCCGTTGGACGCGCTGAGGAAGAGCACGCAGCACAGCTGCGGGAAGAGGACGATGTAGGTGAGCTCTCCGCACCACAGCCAGAGGCTGTAGGTCGACTGCGTCTGCAGGGCCAGGACCGTGGCCACGGATCCGGTGATGAGCACCGTTGATCTCAGCACCCACATGGACTCCTGGTCCGAAGCCTGGCGAAGGATGAACGACATTCGTTCCGGCGTTAGGGCGCGCGTCAGGGAGCGGCTGCTTGCGGTTACGGCGCTGCGCTCAGAAATACGGTGACGCCGAGTTCTATTCCGAGCCGTGGCGGAAGAGCGAGTGATGAGTTAGGATATGGGATTGGAAGAGAGGTCTTGAATTACTTGAATAAAGTCCAATCTTGAATTAAAACTTTTGAATAAAGTCCGTGAAATCCTGGAAATGGCTGTAGAAACGCACGCAATTAGACGCATCCCTTATTTTTTTTAATGCGTTTTAGTGGGGTTGGAGGAGAGGGCGCTGTCCCAATAATGTAACAGTAATTAAATGTATATTCTTGGTGCTTTCGGTAAAGTCACGTAGAAGGGAAATAATAAAATAATAAATAATAAAAAACATAAAAAATTAGTATGTGTTATATTTTTATCATTTTATTATTTCCCTTCTACGTGACTTTACCGAAAGAACCAAGAATATGAATCCCTGCAGTCACGAAAGCTTTAAATGTAACAGTAATTAAATTATTAAAGATCCTGTACCGGTTTAGGATGTGTCACACTTGGTAAATTGTCTTGGGACAGTTGTGACGACTTAAGATAAACAAAGAGACTCTTTGAGGTTCAATTTTTATTTAAAGCTTTCGTAACAGCAGGGATTCATATTCTTGGTTCTTGCATTAGGGTGACTTCCCACTTTAAGGAGGTGACCGGTGGTCAGCCAGCAAGGGATGGGATGGGACAAAACGAACATAACGGAACTCTGATTCGCACTTCTCGACGAGACATGCATTCTAGATTTGAAGCTTTCGTGACTGCAAGGATTTGTACTTTTTTTTCGTTAAAGTCACGTAGGTCAAAAAATAATAATAAAATAAATGAAAACAACTGAATTAAATCACGACGTTTCGGGCGCAACACAAGCGTCCGTCATCAGGTGGGGACATGCATGTTCAACTTCTTCTGCACCGCACGGAGCCAACAACGCTGATCGGAGGTGCGGGAAATCCGACCGCACCCCGGACACTTCAACTCACGACGCCGACAGCACGACCCGAATAAAACAGGAATGAAGGCCATCCTTTGGCTAACCGCAGCACCTGGGGGCGGATGATCTGCGTGTAGACGTTGCGCGTGAACAGCGAGCCAGCCGACAGGAGCGCCGAGTCCGCGGACGACATCACCGCGGCGGCCAGCACCCCGATGCCCATGATGGCGATGTAGTTTGGGCAAATGTGCTGCAGCACGATGGGCAAGATCATGCCGTCCTCGCCCCTCTCGTGCGGCGAGGGGAGGCCGTAGGTCGTCATGTTCCAGTCTGCGCGCGACGGGGGGCACGTGGGATCGCTCACAGCCGTTTGCGCGGCAGGGCGAGCATCGTCATCATGTTCACGTTTCAAGTTGATTTCGTTTAACGAGGTGAGAACTTGAGAGACCAAGATGAAAGTCTCAGAATTAAATGAAGTGCAGGAATCGAGCAAATAGAAATCGGGAAAAAAACGACCGTGATGCAGGAGAAACCGAAAATACCACGACCCACACTGACTCACCAGAGTGGGGCAGTATAGTCAAACATTTTCAAGGCACAATGGCACGGGGAGGCTGACATGGCCCAAATTTGCCAAATTTTAAAATGACTAACAAATTCGCCAAAGCCACAACATCGCCCGCTACTGTGAAACTACTGAACACTGTAATCGTTTGGGAGGCGGTGACTTTCTTCGTGATTTTGGCTAAGGCTTGCGCTCTAAGAATGGCGGTATTACCAATTGTATATACGATTTGATTTTATTGCTAATAAAAATACGCAGAAATGACGCTTCCTTCGCGCGTATGTCCCTCCACACCGCAGCAGCCACACGAACTTTTGGGAGGGCATTAGTTAAATCAACAAAACCAAACTTGCGATTGGTTTCAACACTCATTTCCTCATCAGCAGTCAGGTTTGCTCGAGCCAATGCTGGTGAACTGCCAGATATTCATAGGCGAGGACCCTATGCATTAGATATGGCTCCAAGCTCAATGTGCAACTACGATGTTATTTTATGCACGTAGAAATGGATTGACAAAGGGCTGAAAATGCAAACTAATGTATGTACGTATGTTGAAATTCTTCCGCACCGTGCGTAGCCAACCGTGCTAATCGGAGGTGCCGGGGGAAGGACAAATAAACACAAAAAACTGTTCTAAACAAATTCGTTTTAAATCTGGATGATTTAATAGCTCCAGTGTCTTCCTAATATCGGAAGGAAGAGCATTCCAGATGGCCGCAGAAGCGCATCTGAAAGCGCGCGATGCGGTAACCGTCTGTGTTCGATCGCTAGCCAAAAGGATGACCGGCGTTCACGTGATGGTCTATGCTCCTTAACCGTCCCCCCGTTCCGAGACGACTAAGTTAGAGGGTGGGTCCCACTCCCCACTGAATCTTGGAACGCGCAAGCGGCTCCAGCGTTTATTTTGTTTATGGAGGCATATTCGCCGTTGTTTCTAATGACACTGTCCTCACAGCAGATAACCGCGGCGAAACGACCGCACGCCATGATAGCTGGCACAAAACTGTGCCACGCGCCCTGCCGTATGGCCTTGTGGGAGCCTCGGTACCGATGACGTTATTTTAATCTAGCGACGTACGCGTACGCCATCGGAACGGGAAAGGGTTGATCACCGGTGCTCACTGCCACGGCGCCGATGAGGACGGAGGGGATGGCGAGCAAGAGGGTGTTGAGCGCCGACAAGAAGGAGATGACCTGGGCGTGCGTGCCCGACTCTGCGGCGAGCACCCTCTGGAAGTAGCCCTGCCACGGGATGTTGCCCAGCGTCTGCAGGAAGCACAAACCCACCGGTCTCCTCAACTCGAGTGCAACCAGTGCCCCGGGCTGCCAGGGGGGCGATGTGTTGAGGTGAGCAGGGACCCCCCCCCCTCTGCTGAAGGGCTTAAGCCCCCCCTTCAGAATGTTTATAGCCAAGTCAAAACATGTTGCGATTGCTCACGCACGCACCGACTGGTCTGCTCCTTTTAACGTTGCAGTAAAAAATAATTTTTACTCCTAATGCCACACAGCTGTCGCTGTGTGGCATTAGGAGTAAACTGCAACGGGGCATTGGTTTGGTTGAGAATAAATGTGCTGTGAAAGGACAAACACCTATGTAAATAAACACCTTAATCTGCATGTACGTATGTCTCAGAAACCTCGAGGGTACTTCCCGACAAGGCGGAAAGCTGAAATGTACCAAACAACAGGACAAATCTGAAAATCTCGATTGAAAAATGTTTGCGCGTTTCATCCAGAAACCGTTTGATAGAGCGTTAAACAGCGGATAAAATTAAAGCGAGAACCATTGTTCTATGTTTTGTTTGTTAGATATTTCGGATTAGAGCTGGTTGGAACAAGAAAATACGCATTTCATCACGTTCAAATCTGAATAATTCGAAAACAATCAAAGATAGGAGCTTCCCCTCCGAGTATTAAGATCATTACTGTTTGTTCTTCGTAATAAAAAAAAGAACGGAATGTTTAAATTGAGCGGTTTACGATGGGTACGTCTTTAAATATAACAAGTTGAATCAACAACAAAAAATTTGCGGAAAAAAATAAATTGTTTGGAGGAGTTTTTAGTGTCTGATCGTGGATAAAAATTGTAAAAAAAAATCATACCAGGTTAATTATATTTCTTGAAAACTTTTGCCTGGGAAAGACAGTCTTAATGGACTAGTATAATATAATAATAACAGGCAACGTTTTGGGAAATGGGCCTACTTGAGAGCACCTATGTGCGCTATGGTAAAGGGGCATTAATCGAAAAGCTACGAGCAAGGGCCATTGGCCAAAAACGTCGCCTATGATATACTTTTTCTCCTTTTAAGGCCGCGTGTGTTACTGACGAACGTGTTGCATTTTTTGTTCATTGTGCTAGGCAGGAGAGATGGAGATCCGAGACTGTCAACCCCCAGACTACGCTAGGGTTAGGGTCACGTGATAATGTATACTTTGTTGAACTTCTTTCGCACCGTAAATTGCAATGCGTACAAACTGAACTTAATAAGGACATTCAGATGCATGGGAGAATAAATTAAAGAAAGATCATATTTTGATTTAAAGCTTTCGTGACTGCAGTAATTCATATTCTTAGTTTTTTCGGTAAAGTCACGTTGAAGAGAAACAACAAAATAACAAAATATATATAAAACAATAAAAAATTCTCACGACGTTTCGACCATAACTCAAACGGTCATCATCAGGTGTGTCGGTTTGCATAAATTTATTTTGAAAACGGCATATTTATTTATATATATAAAAATAACGTTTGCGTCACGCGCAACGATGGCAGTTTTGCCAGGACTAGTCCATCTATTTTTTGAAAAGAGGAGGGGGGAGACGAAATTTGTTTTTATGTATGCTGTCTGAAAGGCACTGTAAGCGTGAACAATCAATCAAGAACTGAAATGATTATCAAATCTTTCCAATGATTGCTAAGATAGAATCCATCTTCTCGGTTGAAATTGTCTCTGTGTTTGTATATGTGGATAGCCTCATGAACGAATCTCTCATGGAAGCCAGATGGCTTACAAAGAACCTCCGTCTTGGAAAAGTCAATGGCATGTGAGCCTACTGAATTAGAACAATGATCTGCTACGGCCGAGGTGTTGGTCCTACCGTGTTTAAGGTCTGCTTTATGTTCACGAATGCGGTCCGAGATATGGCGTTTGGTTTCTCCAATGTAACTACTACCACAGAGGCAACTTAGTTTGTAGACACCAGGGTATTGTATGTCCGGAATCACATCTTTTACAGACGGAACCAGATCACGGATTTTATGTAATGTGTTGAAACGGACCTGGATCTTGTGTTTATTCAAGATTTTGGAGATCTTTTTTGTGATCCCAGCAATGTAGGGTAAAGTGATGGTTTTGAAAGGCTCCTCAAGAGGGTTCTTCTTCATGGTTTGAGTGATAGCTTTGCGGATTGTATAGTCGGAGTAACCATTAGCCCTAAGAGCTTGGTGTACGTGCTTGAGTTCACTGCTTATGTGTTCCTGGTCGGATATGCATTGGGCTCTATGATACAGAGTCTTGATGAGAGAATTCTTCTGTGATGGATGGTGGTGGGAATCCGGTTTCAGATAAGCATCCGTATGGGTAGCTTTCCTGTAGACAGAGTGGCTCATTGAACCATCAGGTCTCTTTTTAATTAGGACATCCAAAAAAGGTATCTTGCCATCTATTTCGACTTCCATGGTAAATCTGATGGCTGGGTGTATGGAATTGATGTGGTCGAAGAATTTGTCTAGAGCAGGCCGGCCATGTGGCCAGATGACAAAAGTGTCATCCACGTACCTCTTCCATAAGGTTGGGCGCAGAGTGGCAGTCTGGATGGCGTCAGTCTCAAATTTCTCCATGAAAATGTTAGCTATAACTGGAGAAAGGGGGGAGCCCATTGGGGTGCCCTCAGTTTGTTTGTAGAAAGTTCCATTCCAAGTGAAGTATGTATTGGTTAAACAGTGTCTCACCAGGGGGGGTACCTCAGTGTTTAGTCCTTGATGAACCAAGTCTTCAATGATTGCAATGGTGTCAGGTACAGGAACCTTGGTGAATAAGGAAACTACATCAAAACTGACAAGCAGGTCGTCTGGGGACAGGGAAATACCCTTGATTGTTGATACCAGGTGAGTAGAATTTTGTACCGCAGAGGTGGTCTTTCCAGTGAAAGGACGCAGGATTTCAGACAAAAAACGAGCTAGTTTGTAGGTGGGGGAGCTGATAGTAGAGACTATGGGACGAAGAGGTGTATCAACTTTATGTATTTTTGGTAAGCCGTATAATCTTGGTGGCCTGGCAGCAGAAGGTTTCAACGAAAACTGTTTAGATTGATCAATTAATGCGGTTGAATCAGAAATTATTTTGTTGGTTTGTGTGACGAGGCTGTTGGTGGGATCTCTTTTTATTTTTGTATAACTACCATCGTCGAGTAATTCTTTAATTTTGTTGTTGTATTCTATTTTATCCATGATAACAGTAGCATTGCCTTTGTCAGCTGAGAGAACTACAATATCATTCCTCTTTTTTAATTTATATAATTCAAAACGCTCATCTTTGCTGAGGTTGCTAGCTGGCATCTTAGCGTGTTTGAGGGTTGCAGCGATTTCAGATCTTGCTACGTCTGCAGCGATGTGACCCAGGCCCCTGAGAGCAACGTCTACTTGGGCAATTATATCATTAACTGGTATGTGTTTAGGTGTGACTGCAAAGTTTAGACCTTTAGCTAAAACGGATTTCAGACCATCGGAAATAGAACTGTTACTGCGATTAATTACGACTTTATTAACGTCTAACTTTTTGGTGTGTGGGTCCGGTCTTTTGTTTAAGAGGAGGTTAAATTTGGAAATCAGGTTTTCCTTACATTTGGTCGACATAGTAGCAGCTGAAGAGGCAGTCATATTGTCTACATGTTCCCAATCCGATGTGGACATTATTGCCGTCAATGATAAGTGTGATTTGTAGAGTGTCTTGTCTAACTGATCTAGTTCTGTGCGTATAAGTCT